AGAGGATTGTTGTTCGTGACAATAATATCATCCACATATATTAGAAGATATATTATATTGCTACTTTGGTGACGGAGAAATAGCAAGATATTAGACTTGGAGTGGATGAAGTCATTTGATGTCAAAAACGAGCCAAGTTCGGTGTATCAAGCTCTTGGAGCTTGATGAAGTCCATAAATAGCTTTTTGTAGTTTACAAACTTGCCTTGGATACTGAGGGTGGATGAAGCCAAGAGGTTACTGTATGAAGACATCTTTAGTTAGAGTTCCCTGTAAAAAGACATTGTTAATTTCGAGTTGTCATAAATGTCAGCATTTTGAGATGACCAAAGTTAAAATAAGTTAGATTATTGTGGGTTTAATAATGAGACTAAATGGCTCTATGAAGTCAACACTAGGACATTGATGAAACACTTTGGCCACTAGACATACTTTATATCTGGCAACGGACCATGGATGCCCCCGTGCTTAAATCTTTGATAAGAAAGGAGTTTGGAAAGAATTCAATTGAAGTATTATTTTGTTTACAGAATTAAAAAATAAAAATGAGATTTTGCTTGATGTGAGGTGCACACAAAATATTATTGAGTATGAAAGTTGTGTTATGTGAATTATACGTTGTGGAATCAATATGAGTAATAGGAATTCATTTACCATCACCGATGATGATATCTTCATTTTTGTCATAGTTATTATAGATGAATAAGTTCTGTATATCAGATGTGATGAGATGCGCCATAGTCCACAATCCAATTGTGTTGACTGGTATTCGGAGTAGTCGTGATGTTTACTTAGGGTCGATGTGATGGAGGAGGAAGTTTGGGTCGAGATCGATAGACTTTTGCAGAGTGTCTAACTTTGTCATACAGTTGGCAAACAACTTTTTGTTGACTTGAATGTTCAGGACACCAGGGCTAAGGATAATTGAAGTAGTCGCCTTAATAGTTGTGACTAACATGTTAATGTTGTAGAGGGATGGTTTGTTTGGAGCTTGTAAGTTCATGAGACATCTTGGTCAAATCTTTGTTGATAATCTTGTTATACCGGTTGCCCCTCCTTTTGGATTTTTAACTGATTTGAGCTGTGATGGATGATCCTGATAATTTGACCTCTCGCTTAAGATATATCTCAAAGTCAATCAACTTGTCATAAAATTCTTCGAATGACATTGGTGAGTCATATGCCCGTATTGCTATTGTTAGTTCCTTATACTCACCCCTTATGCCTTTAAGGTTGTAGACAACGACTTCTTCATCACTGATGGAATGACCTATTAAGGTCAAGTTATCGATGATAACTTTTATATTTTGTAGATATTCATCAGTAGTACTTCCCTCTTATTTTGTTTTCATGAGGTTGGATAAGAGATTGAGTTTGTAAGTACGCGAATGATTTTCCAATGTAGTTTGCAACTTGCACCAGGCTTCGACAGTTGTATTACATGAAGATATGAGTGGGGCAAGGGATCCAGCGATTGAGGCTTGAATTACTTGAAGGATGAGACGATCTTATCGTAACTATAATTTATGGTCCGGATTTTGTATTGGATTGGGTGCTCTTGGGATATTAGCATAGATGGTGGACAACAGAGAGAGTCATTGACGTAGCCTAGTAGATCATAGTCAAATAGGAGATTAGAAAATTGAGTAGAGTTGTACCACTGATGGAAATAAGACCAGGGTAAAGTACTATGGTTTCCTATGGAGATAGTAACTGAAGCATTAGATATAAATGATGATGATACGTCGAGGATGTGTACATATGAGAAAGCAAAATGAGAGTTTGCAACGATAAAAGGTGGGTGAGAAACTGCTGAGAATAGGTGCAGTGTGCCGTACTTTCCTTGGGACTGTTGCTGCAGCAACGACAGTGGTCAGAGAGGAAGAAGTGTCGGTGCAAATCAACGTCACTTGAGGTGGGTTGCTAGCAGATGAGTTCTTTGTTGGATGCATTTAGCTCTGTGCAGGCTAGTTTGGTTGTTCAATATTGAGCAAAGCTATATATCTTCGGTCAGCAGTTCGTGCAGTTAAGGATTGAGGCGGTGAAGAATGGGAAGAGCAGTGCAGCGTAGAACTTTGCTGAAGGGCAATGCAGATGCTTCTCCGGTGAGGAAGAATCGTTATTCGTTGCTTAGCAGCGATGACAGTGATGGGCAGCAAGGGAATGGAAGTTCTTGACGTCCAAGATGGCTTGGTGGAGCAAAGCCTCGATATGTTGTTGAAAAGCTGGATAGTGAGGACGCGAAGGAGGAAGATTGGAAGCCGAGATGTCGTACAGGTTCAAGTGAGCTGAAGGTGTGGCCTGGAAGAGCAGGTCTGTTCTGCTGCGAGCTGTGCTTGTGGCAGTTGACGGCGATGCAACAGTTCACAATAGGCGACAACGGCTACGATCGATGCAGATCATTGCCTCGACTGGTGTGGGTCGAAGGTTTCAGAGACCGCTCAAGAGAGATCTGTAGTTCTGTGAGAGGTTGCGACTTGTAGTTCTGTGAGAGACTGCAGCTTCAAATGTCATAGTGCACGTCGAGCCGGAGAAGAAGCGGTTTGTGGTCTGCACCAAGTGCATCAACCAGTTCCGAATGTTGCTCGACGAGGCGGAGAAGGAGTTTAGGGGAAGTAGTTGTCGAGGCGGTACCCTGCGGTAGGAGACGACGTGCCCGACGCCCTTGGTGACGACGAAGGGAGGGTGCCAGTCTTCAAGAAGCGGTGAAGCTACTCATCGATCCGGGAGGATGAGGGCAGAGACATGTCGCGGCAGCAGGGGAAGACAGCTATCGTTCGCCAGAGAAGTGCTGTAGTCACCGCTGGGAAAACAACCATTGTTGGAAAAGTAACAGTGGGAATCGCCTCTGGCGATCCTGCGATGAGGAAGATTGACCGATGTCGGAGGAGGAGAAGAGGGGGAGGAAGCTGCGGTCATTGTCGATCGAGATGAGAAGGGGAAGAATCTGTGATATGCGTGTGCTACTCATCAACTGCAAGAGCAGGCTGTCGAAGCAGGTGGCCGCAACAAAGTCGTCGGCTCAAGTAGGAGAAGAGAAGACGCCGACGTAGGGAGGAGAAAACTGGAAGCTGGGTGACATCGGATAGCGAGAAAGAGTTTCTTCTGGATTGACTACGTGCTCTGCGAGTTTGGGCTCTGTTTCTTCCATGCAAGCTTCACACTCTCTTCGATTAGAGCTGTACTCGTTTAGTTTGTGCCTAGTGGTGGCTCCAGAAACATGCATTCTATGGCATGGAGGGTCGTGGTCATGGTTGCTGCTCTACTTCAGATTTGCTCCTCCAGGGAGCTGGAGTCCAATCTATCCCACCCAAACAGGATCATCAAGCTGCCTGGCCAACCTCAAGTCAGCTTCCAGCAGTTCTCGAGCTACGTCATAATGGATGAGCCGAAGCACAGGGCTCTTTTCTACTACTTTATCGAAGCAGAGATTGGATCCGTCCTCAAAGCCTCTGGTTCTCTAGTTGAATGGAGTTGCAATGTACGAGGAAGGGGCGGCCAGCAGCGAATCACTGTATAAAAGGAGAGAGGGTGCCGTAGCAATAGCGTTGACTGCGAGATCAGAGTTAATACCATGTTAGAAATGAAACGAAGAAGATGTTATTTATGCTTGGTATGATGCTCCCTGTGTATTGTGATGTTTCTTCGTATAGTTTGAAAAATCTAGTTGCTATCACTGATGGGATAAGTGGATGGCTCCTTGTTGAAATCTTGTTTATCAAGACCACGCCTGCAAGAAAAATCTTCGGATTAAATTCAGTCTCTTTCTATGGTTAGGCTATATTGATCAAAAGAATGATCTTTAAAAGAAAATAATTGCATTTCAACTTCGTGGGTATCTTTCCACGTACGAACGTTGAAAAATCCCATGCATGACGTAAAAACGGTTTCGTGACGTTTCAGACTTTCTGGGTGTCTTGCAAGTTATAGTATCTTGTTAGACTATCCATGAAGAACGGGAAGCAATGATAATTAATGAAACACAAGACAACGACAGATGCTAATAAGTGGCAAAATATTATATATGACGGTCAACAATGAACTTGACTTTCTCGAAGAATCGATCAACTATAAACCACACGAGAGATGATTCCGTGACGATAGTTAACCATGTATAAACAATTCGAGCCTGTGTGTGACAATCTCAATAAAATTTGTCCTTCCGAGGAGATGGAAAACTAGCTCGAGCCTTATGCCTGGCTTTAGGTCGTGATCTGAATGGGTAGTGCATTTCAAGATAACTTTTTCTTCTATAAATCAGAATATTCATGAATTTCATCCAAATCCATCTCACTCAAATAAGAAGTACTCGGTATATCCTGATTTATCAACATATATTTAGTTTGCATCCAATATGAACCCAAACATGACTATCTATTTCTATATGTTATTATCTGAACTCATCCTATATCCAAGTAAAGTCTCCTATTGCAATGGGATGTCTGGTACGACCATAATGAGTACGAGTAGAACCTCACGATCGCATCACAAGAAAAGCAAATGACATGTTGGAGTTCACTTAGTTATCACTTTAGTCAATTAGGGAATGAACAAAACTGCATTCTTTGATCTTTCTTAATCTCTACCTACTGGCTGCTTATCAAGTGCACTCTCTAAAACGATGACTATAATAAGTCATTGGAGGCCAGTTTTCTCACTTTATTACCATCGGGAATATGTTAGAGATCGAAATAATTATTATGAACCATAGTTAAATAATGAGAAGAAGAAGAAAACGAGAACTCACAGAGAACCGTGCAGGAATCACTCTGCAACAGGATCAGGCACTCCTCGCCAGAGGTCTCTGGGTCTAAGTCACGAGGGGATGAGAGATATTATTGTTCAAATCGTGCTTATTAGAGCATAAATATCGAAGCAGACATCTACATACCACGGCTGTCGGACAATTAACCGACTCCTGCTTTTCCTCCTGTATCTACGCTGTAGATGTCGCCAAACAAAGTTCTTGGTTGGAAAAATTTTAACACCAAGAGACGATTGCATCGTATCCTTTGTGTATGAAAGATAATAAAACAAGATTTCTTGCAACAAATTTTACAAATAATAACAACTAAAATTACCATGTATTCGATCTTTGAACCACAACTTTTCAAGTAGATCTGAATAAGGAAAATTCATGGCTACCGTACGCTCAGCAAGATTTAATATCAATATGCGGTGTCGTCGAATTTTTTCCAGAGTTCAAAAAGGTTTTGTCCCCGACCTAGGATATGAGTTGTGCTTTTAGCAAAGTTTAGCCTCCACCTGACTTGAGTGTATTGCTAAGCCTGCAACATGAAACATCAGTTTATATGAAGATCATACAATAGCTATGGATTTTTAACATACCCGGCTGAGATCAAACATTTGAAAGAAATAGATAGCCTATGCCGAGGTACTAATAAATTAAACTGCAAGTATAAACTGAAGGAGATGCACTGATGAGTTTAAATCGTAAGATCAGCAAAGTAACAAATAGCAACAAATTTTACACATTAGTTCTTAGATAATGAGTGGCAAGATAAAAAAGAAAAGGCTAAATATCTATTTTTCTGCTGCACCAAATAATGTTCCCTGTACCAATTATTTACTTTTGACATAAATTGTTCTGAGAGTCTACTGCAATTTATAACTCATCGAAAAATCGGTCAATGATCAGTTCCTGAAGTTAGCTATTATAGTTGAAGTTTAAAATGCAAATGTTGGAGAAATAAAAGCCCTTGGTAATGGACATAACTTGGTCTCATCCATGTCACCCACTTTTAAAGTCCTAGGGTTGCTACCACAGACCTTCATCAATTTCTTTGTTGAAATTCCATGCTGGCAAACACGCAATTGGAAGATAGCTTTACGCTAATTCAATTCTCAAATTGAAAAGATTTGGGAGCACTTTAAAATGATTAGTTGGGCTTACCAATCCAGTCCCTCAAAAAGCCCTTCTCCTTTTATTGCTGAAGTTTTAAAAATTGCCCATTGACGATTTTTGATTTTGTGTAATTCCAAGGCTTCTGTTATTGCAGCATCATCAAGAGCACCAGGCAGATCCTGCAAAGAAACAAAATGACCATCGTCGATAAAAATAATATAAACAAATAAAAACAATCAAAACAATTTTCTTCTGCCTAAACTAGTATCCATATTTGGTATCTAAAAGTCTCATATGTTCAACTAGATAATTAGATAACCATGCCATCCTGAATATTTTGGTGACTTCTATTCTGTCTGAAGATTTTAGTTTTCACATTCACAATGTTCAACGTCTTATATAAAGTATGAACATGTATTACATAGAAAAAAACCTATGGTATGTGACACAATTTGTTTCTTCTATTTTGTTTCTAAATTAATCCCTACTCGACTTGAAGATGAAGCATAACTCTTCAATCATAGAAACTACCAAACTGAAATATCATCTGGCCAAGAGAAAACTAGGGCAAGTTTTCAACCTTCCAACCAAGGAAATTTACAAACCCAAAAAAACAACGATAGAGATGCATGCATGACTCAGACAATTGCAAATTCACATGTCAAAAAAGAAATGCTTAGTTTAATTGAGTGACCTAGAAGCTTCACCTGCTTGTTTGCAAACACGAGGACAACAGCACTTTTCAGCTCTTCCTCCTGCCATATATATGGAGTAGTCAATAAAATCTTGTGTGTGTCTACATACACCAAAAAACTACTGGAAAATTCAATGTGTTATGTTTTGCACAACAACAAATACATTCCATCAACAGTTGCAAAGCAACAAAGAACAGAGCACCTTGGAGCCTCAAATTCATGTTCACTTTTATTTTGGGTTCTGCTAAAATTGAACTAAGAGCATCCTTATGCTTCTTTTTGGGGCATATGACTGTCTTATTAAAACAACCCCAATGATTCCTGCAGATATACAGCAAGGGAACAACTGTATCCAATTTTCATATCCAAATTAATCCCCCATTTACTTTTACAGTAAAAGCAATAAACAGGGAAGAAAATGAACTGGTGACACACAAAGAAGATAAACCTTCTACCATGCTCCGCTACATCCCCTTCAGAAGTTGTCATATGATTTATATTGCTAAAGATTCTGAGCAATAAATAGAATGACATACACATCAACCTACAATAATCATACCAGCTATTCTTAGGCAAAGAAAATAGAATACTGAGAACTTCATTATTGTGAGAAAGTGAAACATACAGTTAAATAGAAAGGAAAACTTGATCATAGTATATAAAACAAATAAACAATTAGCAACTATTTAGGTAATTTGTGCAAAAAAATTAGCAAGTTAATTGAAAATATAAAAGAGAGTGATTAGACATTTCAACACTAACATCTTACTTTCAAACATGGTACAAACATGTTTTAAAAAGAACATAACATAAGAGAAACAAATGAATACATTTGTGCTACAGACCTCCAGGATAGCATGAAATTCATCCTTAGCAGTCACAAGTCTGTCTGTGTCGCTGGAATCAACAACATATATAACAGCTTGAGTGTTTGGAAAGTAGCACCTCCAGTAGGGTCTGCAGAAAATAAAATGACAAATAATCATCGATAGATTGCTGATATGGCTATTTAAAAGTTATTAATTTTCTATTGCATGAAATATGCTACACGAAAGGGGAGAGAGAAATAGAATTAGATTTGCATGTATGTAGTAGAAGACTTTCAGTAGCATCCAGGCAATTCAGCTAATGGCAATGCTACATAATATTACCATTACTTGGTAGCCATCTCATCTCAAAACTACTGCTGCATTCTACTCCAGGACCTAAGAGGAGTTTAAATCATATTTCCGAACATAAGTCTTGATTTCTGTTTTGGTATACTCCTTCAAGATTCAATTTCAACAACCTTGGTGACTCGTTGTAGTTTTTCACTGGTTCCCAATAGTTTTAGGCAAAAAATTAAACAAAATAGAACACAAAAAAGTCAAAATTAGATATAGGGAAGTACAAAATTTAGAACAATGTGTTGTTCAAGAGAATATTACAGTCGTATGTAGTAACCTAAGTTAGATCACAAGAAGATAAATATTCTAAAGTGATGCATACTTATGGCAATATTTATATTGTTTTGTTTTTTATATGAATTTCCAAAGTATTTCTTATAATTGCTGATTTACTTTGGTGTAAATTCTCATAAAAATCTTACTAGGAACCAAATTGCCAAAACCTTCAATTAAAGCCTTAAAACTAATACCTTAATCTAATACCAATCAGAGACAGAAAAGGTGAACCTAAAATCAAAGCGAAAAACTCTGCAGTTACCAAAATTTACTAGAACTTAGTCTCGGCTGAAATTGAGATACCAGCTTAAAATAAGTCAAAGATCAGAAAAGAAATTAATTGGGCTTCCAATTACTCTCGGTAAAAACTAATCAGAATTGGCAGAAACTAGCAAACCAATTTAACTTCAAAATTATGGTCAATCTGTTTTCGCCAGAACATCAAATTATGGTTCAGATAAGTGATATACTAACAAGTTATGTTACTAAATTTCTCAGACTTGCTATGTATTACTAAGCTGCTCTCAGTGGCATTCATCCCCTTGTACAAAAAATTATGGTTGTTGCGTAAGAGTCATAATCGGAGAAAACAATATGAACTTTGTGCACATGCTTCTTGTTTTTTGTTAAAACAATGCTTCTTCATTGCTTTTTGTTACAACAATATGCCCATACTGGCATGTCAAATCTCAAAATGTATAGTATTAGCATACCATCTCGGGTGGCAAATTTGTATAAGCCTCATACCCTTATGGCCTATATGCACATGCAAACTTTTTTTGACGAATTTAGGAACTTAAAATGAGAAGTTAGGAACTCATTTACAGCTTTTTATCAAGAAGCTAGGACCTTTGACCATCGACATCACTTTTCTGGGTCTATATTAGCTTAAGATGCATAGATATCATTTTTATCTTAGTTTGACCTTTTTCTTCTCTTATGGTGTGCATCTTTCTTTTTAATGTATCTTAAATTTGAAATGTAGGTCTCACAACAAATTAATTCTTTTCTGTCTTCTCTTCCAAACTACATTTTGTCTCACCAACATGCACTTTTACCATTCATAAAGCAGAAACACTTATTACCGATTTACCGGTCTGTGGTACCCTGTTTAGCTCTCATAACTTCCTTTTCGCCAAATAAGGCACTAAAAAAATAATAACTATCCTACTCAACAATTTGCCACTTGCTCAAAAGTTTGGTAGTCAAAACAACTGGTAGATAAATATCATTCCTATCTTCAATGACCTCCAAAAGTAGTTCATAAGGCTTCTATGCAACACAAATCTAACATTGGCATAATAAGACAAGAAAAATTTTCTGAAGAAGCACAATATAGATAATTGTTTTGCATCTATCAACCCATGATTTAAGTCACTGATAGAAAACATACTAAATTATTCATCTTAGACTTCTTTGTTGTAACAGTGCAGATGGCTCAACAAATGCACTTACACAATTTAAAGGAATGTAAACTAATTTTTTGAGGAAAAACAACATGTAACAGAATGAACCAATGATGGCATAAATTTAATCATCACCAAAATTGCCCTACTTTCAACCTGCACAATGATCAATCCATCCTAAGACGCAATGTATTTCCAAAAATTGCCATCGCTGACTACATGAATGTTTGAATTCAGTGGGACCAGTTGCTGTAATCCAAAAACTAGGATTACTCACCACCCATAACATACCCCTGTGAGAGTTCAGGGAAGGCACACACAGGATACATTGTGTAACATGATGACCATGCCAACAAGGATGCACTTAGAATGTAATATTTATATGGTGCATACTGCATGGTAAATCCATGACATTTATGCCTTATATCAGTATTTATGTTAGCATGGACACACCAACTAGCAAGGTCAGCATGGCAAGCTATGCTAGGGAGACTTCAGTTGGAAGTTCAATTTAATCAAAATATACAAATGGTTGGGTGGCATAAGATATCAGAAATCTAGAGTAAATCCAAGTTCAGTTAATCCATATTGGAGAATTCCTGAAGTGTATTCCACAAAAGCAACCTTCGTAGCAGATGCCATAAATTACATGTAGAAAGCCTTCAGTCTTCTTCAATAACCATTCATAAGTTACCCACCCAGATGAAAGGACATTCTCAAAAACTGATTCACCACAAACTTTTATGTTGAAAAAACTGCTAAAATTTCTTTGCTCATTTTTTTATCTTCTCAATTCACAAGTACATGTAAGCCAAGTAGCCTCATAATCATCATGAATCATACCAAGGTCTAGTACATTTCTGCTATTGAAATTTCCTAAACCCAAGTGTTTAACACCATTAAATAAGCCTCATATTGGAGGCTTCATGGGCTTTAATTGAGCAACAACTACCAAAATGGAGATTTGTTACAGAAACATGCATAGAAGAAAAACAGCTTTAGACTTCATATTAACTCTTAAAATATGTTATAACATGCAGGACTGAATTGTTATTTAACAGCTTAAACTCATCAGCCTAAATATTTACACAACAAGATAAACTTGTTAGTTTAAACTTTTTTCCTGTTCACATGTTTATATATTAAATATTTGGGAATAAGTAATGAAGGAAGACATCCAAGTTTGTGAATTACCAACACAGCTGCATCATTCCATAATGAGACAAAAAGATTAAAACATTAGTTCCACTTATTGAACAGGTCTAGTGCTTAAAGAACATTTTCAGTTGTCCCAACCAAAGTGCCTCAGGTAAGAAATCTACAATATAATCTCAAAGTTCCGATCCCATGGGCAAACTAAGCCTTCCGAAATATGAAGATGAACATCTAGCAATAAACTCATTCACATCTTGTACATATGATAAAATGAAAAAAGAGATCCAAGACATAATGGAATAATAGATTGAGAAATAGAGAAGTACCTAATGCTCGTCTGCCCACCTGTTATAGCAAACATGAGTTTGTATCAGAGAAGAACACTTGAAGAGAATATCAAGCCAAGTAATATAGACAGATTTATTAGAAACGGCGAAAAGAAAGCTTGTAACAGATTAAGTTCATTAGACTAATTCTGATTTTGAGCTAATCATGCAAACTAAACAGCATTAATGATATACAAGTCCATAATTTTCAAAGCTGCTCAAACATGCTTGAATAATGATATCCATCATATGTCATCATCTTAGATACAGTTAATTGTAAGTAGTACAGGGGTTACATCTCCATAGAAATATTTTGATATTAATATAACTTTTTTTTTCCACATAACACCAAGAAGCTTTCGTGAAAGAGTGATATCCTGTCTAGACATAGTGCCATATTAGTTTCATAGCCTATCCAAAGGAAAGAAAAAAGCTGCCTGCAATAAGTAGGATCAGGTAGATGACAAGCAAAAGGTTCTCATAAAAAATATTTGGATCTTTACCAGGCACTAATTGGGGTTTACATCATTGCTTGAAAGAGGTGTGCAATTACTACTACAAACACTTCAAAAAAAGAAAGATAGGATGCTTTCAAAAGCAATTCAAGATAGAACCTAAACAACATGGTAGACAAACAAATCATCGTAATAAATTCCAATAGATGAAGAGAGAGAGAAAAGACCTTAGAACTGAAAACCTAAGCCTCAACATCAAAATGCATTTACATGTATAATGCAGCTCATAGACCATGGAAGAAATGGATTTGGTTGGTAAAAAATGCTTTCAGCACCAAAAATATGTCTCCTCGAGAACAATGTTAGTTTCTACATTGATGTGTTACAACTCATTGGTAATGACGTAGGGATGTGTTACAACTCGACCAAGTCTTGTACAAGTCCACTTGTTAAATAGGTTCACACAAATTCCTGCTGCCTACCATCCAATTCAACATCAGTGCTTTTTCCCAAATTCATAGGAAATAAAAATTTAGGATTAATGATGTTGATCATTCCATTGAAGATCGCTTATATGTGGAAGAATCAAACGGCAAAATCAAAAATATTAATAAAATAGAAGGCCACATATATTACATCAAAAAGCAACACATAGGCCAACCTTTTTATACGTGACATTCTTAATGAAACATGAAAAGACTATTATACTTGGCAATTGCAACGACTTAAACAATTAAAGAGCTATTGAAGAAATTGCATAGGAAATATGAGCTACAATATTATAATCCAGATCCAATTATCAAACAATTTATACGAGGATTGTATGAATAAGCAATATAACGCAACAGTGGATCCGTAAAACCTTACAACAGAAGATTGAGTTTACTTTGCCGAATAGGTGTATCAACATACCCAGATCCCAAACTTGAAACTTAACATTGTTGTACTGCACGGTTTCCACGTTGAACCCGATCGCTGAATCAAAAACAAAAAAACGAAAGAAATGTGTCGATATCAACCGCCAAAATCCACATACCAATCATGGAAAACAAAAGCAAATACTACGGATCAAAGAGAAGGAAGCACCAACTTGGGATGGTCGAGACCACCTCCCCCATCTGAAGCCGATCTGACAAAGAAAGAGAACCAGATCAGACCACCAAATCCGAACCCAAGGAAGAGGAATGGAGCTTAGAAGGGTATTACAGAGGATGGTGGTCTTCCCGGCATTGTCGAGGCCGAGTACGAGGATCCGAGCCTCCCGATTGCCGAAGAGGGACGAGAACAAGCGGGTGAAGAGGATGCCCATGGACGCGCAGCGGATCGATCAGATCGAGATGGTTGGGATCCTCCGTCGAGAATCCAGATCCGAGCGGCGTAACCCTACCCCTGCGGGGAAAGGAGAAGGGTTAAAGGGATCGGAGGAGGGGGAACGGAGTGGAGGATCCCAAAGTAGCAGATGAGATGGTGGTTGTCCTCCTCCTTGAGGCAGACGTGCTTTAGAATTTAGAAATGGGGAATGAGAGGGGAAAGATTATTTGCTTTTTTATTTTTTTTTTAACACACCACTATAAATTGAACTTTGAAATCAGAATTTTAGGATGACATGATAAACTCTTTCCTAACTAAACTATTTACTGTTTTCAAAATTTATGAGATTTTGATTCTCGAAGTTTAAAACTCGATCTAAAATGAGAATGAGTCGAGTAGATGACTACCAAGTAATATTTATTTTTAATTAGTATTTATGTTTTAATTACTTCTACATCAGTGTTTATTTTTTAATTGAATCATATCCATTGGAGTACTTTTTTTTAATCGTAAATCGTAATATTTTTTTAATCAGCATTTGAACAATATACATAATTATTTTATATATAGAACCTTCTTATCAATATATAT